ATAAGGCATGTATCGGCGCATTGAGCACTTGCGGGACGTGAATAAAAACATGAAGGCCTTGATATCGATCGGGGGCTGGAATGAGGGCTCAACCAAGTACTCAAAAATGGCAGCCAATCCCGGAGCCAGAAAAACATTTGTCAACTCTGTGGTCAAATTCTTGCAGACATATAAGTTTGATGGTCTAGATGTGGACTGGTATGCAATAAACCAATTGCAAATTGTAAAATCTAACTAGTTAAAAATAATAATACCCCTTATAATTTAATAGGGAGTTCCCGGGCTTCTTGGCCGAGACGGGACCCGATCACGACCGGACACCCGGCGACCCGAAAGACAAGCAAAACTACATCGAGCTGTTGCGTGAGCTCAAGGCGGCGCTCAAACCGCATAACTATCTGTTGACTGCGGCGGTCAGTGCCGGCAAACCCACCATCGATGTGGCCTACGATGTCAAACAACTCAATGAATTACTCGACTTTGTAAACGTAATGTCCTATGATTATCACGGTGGATCGTGGGAAAATGTTACCGGTATGTAATTGCTTATTTATAACGTACACAATCATGTTATACGTTTGTTACTTTAATTACCCTATGTTATAATTGTAGGTCACAACGCGCCCCTGTATGCCGACCCTAAAGCCGATGAGAAACAAAAAATGCTGACCGTTTCCTACGGAGTCGAGTATTGGCTGAAACTGGGCTTAAGTCCCAAAAAGTTGGTAAGTGGTAGACATATAATAAATACTGCATTTTATTTACACTAAATTAATTATAACTATAATGTTTTATTAGAACATGGGCTTTGCAACGTATGGCCGCTCATTCACCCTGGCCGATCCAAACAAACACGGTTTGGGCGCACCCGCTGTTGGCAAAGGTGGTACCGCCGGTCCCTACAGCAACCAAGCTGGAATGTTGGGCTATAACGAGGTAAAAAAAAGTTTCCTACGTTATACTCTATTGAATTAAACTAATTTATTTTACTCATTGCCATAACATATAGATTTGCGAGTTTTTGAAACAAGGTTGGAAAGCCTATAGGGACGACACCCAGAAGATTGTTTACGCAGTGAATGGCAACCAATGGGTGGGTTATGACGATCAGCAAAGTTTTAAGGATAAGCTCTCGTACTTAAAGTCCAAGGGTTTGGGCGGTGCTATCATATGGTCGATAGACACCGACGACTTTCACGGCACCTGTGGTGGACTCAAACACCCGTTGATTAAGACAATTAGTGGTGAACTGAACGGCGTTACCGGTCCCGACCCCGAGATTCACGAGGTTCACGTCACTCCCGCCCCGCCATTGGCTTAAGCCTATTTGCAAATTTAACAAACAACTAGTAACTTTATATTAATTAATTGAATAACATTATTGTTGTATATTTTTAATTTTTAAATTACTAAATAATTTTTGTTGTTAATTAATTCAGCATAATAAATAAAAATTTATCATAATAAATTCTTGATATTGTTAAATTTTTGGCTTTTATTAGTAGATTATTCTTACTATTAAATTAATTAAATGAAACAACTTATGCACTTTAAACACATAGTGCAAATCAATTGTATGATAGTCGCAATTATTAGTAAAAATTAGCTGGGTACATTTGCGATCTAATACTTTATCAACATAACTAATTGTGATAATTATTTCAGTAAACAACCTATGCGTTAACTTTACCTATTAGAAAAAATATAGATTAACCCGGTTTATCTCTAAACAAGCTATATAAGGCAACACTTGTTAAATTAAATACTATTAAGCTAGTTATTAAGTGAAAATGGCAAATTTGATCATTGTAAATGTGTTAGCTGTGCTGTTAGCCGCAATTAATGCGGCCCCACTCAATGGTGTGATTAAATTAATTTGTTATTATTTTAAATATAATTTATCAAATAGAAAAATATAGTTTGTATTTTTATCATTAATAGAGACAGCCAAAGTGCCATATAACGTGGTGTGCTACTGGGGCTCGTGGTCGTTTTATCGAGACAATGTTGGTGGTCGTGGAAAGGTACGTTTACATTAATGTTAATTTAAAATAGGTTTAAAATAGTATTTTTTGATACAATTAATTTATATTTTTGGTAATAAAAAATAACCACATAAATTATTATTTAAACAAATGTAATAAATTGTTAGATAATTAATTAGCAACATACTGTATATCTAATATTAATACATGAAGTCCGACAATAGACCATAAAATAATTCAAAATTTTTGTTACAAAAAACTGTACTACAGTTTACACCAGAGATAGCCAACCCTTTATTGTGCACACATATCATGTATGGTTTCACCAAACTCAGCGAGAGTGGTGAAATCCAAGTGTTTGACCCCGATCTGGACCAGGGTGACACCGACTGGGAAAGCGGTCTACCATGGGGAGAAGGTAAATCATTATTAAATGGACCATGGTTAAATTTGAAAAGCAAATAATCATGATCTATATGTTTGTAAGGCATGTATCGTCGCATTGAGCACTTGCGCGATGTGAACACCGACCTGAAGGCCCTCATATCGATCGG